TGCTCCTGGCCCCATCCCCTGGTTGCACCCCCAGCCCTCCTGATGGCTTCCCCCCTGCCCCTAGCCTCTCAGCACTTTAAAAATAGCAACAACAAAAAAAGCCTCGCATTCACTGGAAGTAGCAGAAGCTGTGGGGGCTGTGCAGCCTTGTGACACAGCCCCCTGCACAGCATGGGGCAGCAGGGGGGCAGTGGGACTCCCTGATCACCCCTCACAGCCATCCCTGATGCCCTGCCCAGTCCCATCAGTCTGGGGACTCAAAAAAAAAGAAAAAAAAGTCCCACACTCACCAGCAATAACAGCTGCCATGGGGGTCACTGGGCCCTCTTGGTAAAGCCCCTCCATGCAGCACAGGGCAGCAGGGACTGGCCCTGGCTGCCTGGCACTCGCACTGCCATTGCCCCATTGTGCAGGTGCAGTTGGGGGGCAGTAGGGCACCATGTGGCTCCAGGAGCTGTTGGGCAGCTGAGGCTGATGCAGCTGTCACCCAGGCCCTGTGCTGTGCAGGGGGCTCTGCCACGAGACCTCAGTGACCCCAAAGGCAGCTGCTACTGCTGGTGAGTGCAAAGCTTTTTTTTTTTTTTTTAAATTGCCAGGATGCTGGGGCTGGGCAGGCCAGTGATTGTGGGGCTCAGGCAGGGGATGGGGCCAGGAGAGGCAGCAATTGGAGAGGCTCAGGGGGCAGGTGGGGGATGGGGCTGGGCTGGGCAGGGCAGCGATCAGGGGGCTGGGGAGCGGGCAGGGGATGGGGCCGGGCGGGAGAGCAATCGGGGGGCTGGGGGAGGAGGCAGGGCCAGCAGGGGTCCCCCCATGATCCCTTCCCACCTTCTCCTGCCCCCCACCCCCTACTTACCAGCAGGAGCCCAGGTCCAGCTCCCTGAAGCCTGCACCACTGCCTGCCCTGCACGGGCAGGTAGCATGCTACAGCACCAGGCAGAGGCCAGCTATAGAGATCCTCTGCCTGGTTACCTGAGCATCTCTGTGGAGGACCAAGCCTCAGGTTGCCTCAGAACACAGTCTGGGACCATACCCTGCCCCACTTTTTTCCCCTGCATTTTTTTTAACCCCTGGATATCCAGGGGTCTAATTTTGCCTCCACACTGCAAATTTGCAGTGTGGGGAACATTTTTTCACTCCTGCACGTGCCTGTTGCAGCATCTCAAAGGGCTTTGAGATGCTGCAAGACACACGTGCACTCATGTGGATGCACCCCATGAGGCTTGTTTGAATGAAAACATCAGTAATGATGCAGCTGCACAACGTAGCCCTCAAAGTTAGTTCAATAAACTAGTCCTTTTCCCAAGGTCTTCTGACTATACCCGTGTCAAATTCAACATAGAATTCCATGGTTCCCTCCACTGCTGATGGGTTCACAAAAAGATATATAAATTGTGTTATGTCACTTTAAAAATCAAGGATGCACCCCTTCCTCCAGTGCTTGATAAGAGATATGGGATAGTTTCAAGTTTCTTAACAAAGCAAGAAATACCCCTAATCTATCCCTAAAAAATGGATTGTCACCCAGCTTAAAGCTATATTTCAAAGGAATCAGTCAGATTATTTCTTTAACATAGACCAATGCATTTCACACAAAAAGCAAATTTATGGGAACAACACTCCTTCATAAAACATCTCTTTTGTTAGTATGTAGGTAATATAACTATAGTAAATAAATAACACTGGACCAACATATACTTATTAATAGACAAGCTTTTATGAGGCTTACCCCAAGATTTCTTCATCAAGTCTGGCAGCTTTATTTAAAAAGAAATACATAATTGAGGTAAGAAGTATTGTATTTATATCAAACTGCTTGTCAGACAAAACTTTTTGTTCTAATACTCTCACCTACTGCCTATCCCTAATATTTTTCAGATAATTTAAAAATCCATGTTGACACAACCGTACTCTTAGGTGTTTGCATTAAAAAAATAATACCAAGTCAGCAGTAGGACCCATCTTGTCCCCAAGTGTATATACACAGTTTAGACAGACAAGGTTCCTTGGGTGAATTTGATATCTTTTATTAGACCAACCCAAATAGTTGGAGAATAGTTATTAAGCAAGCTTTCGAGTTCAAAAACCCTTCATCAGGCTAAGGAAGTTTCAGCAGCTGGTGTGTGCTCTTCCTGGATGGAATGGCAACTGACTCCCCAGCCCAGCCCAGCCCCTGGCTTCTTTACTTTTCATTCCATCCAGGAAAAGCACATACCAACTGCTGAAACTTCCCTAGCCTGATGAAGGGTTTTTGAACTCGAAAGCTTGCTTAATAACTATTCTCCAACTATTTGGGTTGGTCTAATAAAAGATATCAAATTCACCCAAGGAACCTTGTCTGCCTATGTCCTTAAACCCACAGGGCTACAACCTACACCCCTATACACAGTTTATACACTGTAGTCCCATTTGCACTCCTTCTATTTTTGAGAACTACCTCAACAAATATTTTCTGCGTAGTTGGGATACCTAAAGTATATACAGAGAAGGGCCTCTTTAGGTCATAGCTCTCATGCAGGATAGCACCAGAAATGCTCAGAGTAAGCAAACAGGGCTCATGAGCCCAAAAGCCTGCAAATAAATAAAATGTTTCTGCAACTATCTAGTTGGTCTAATAAAAGATATCACCTCTATCACACTGACTACTTTTGCTTTTAGACCAACATGGCTATAACCTTTATCACTGAAACATGGAATTAGCCGTTTTGAAATTAAAACTTAATAATTTTACAAGAAAGAAGCAAAATTCAATACCGTGAGACCTGGAAGCTAACCCCCCTGCTCCAGCCCTTTGCAGCAGCACCACCACAACAGAACTTCCTTGCCCAGGAGAACCTTTCCATCACCAGTCCTCCTGTGAAACATGAAACATCTTAACAAGAAAGAAGCAACATTCAACATCCTGCTTGCCATCAGGCACCTTTGAGGTAAATAGACTGCTCCAACTTTTATCCAAGCATAATTTGCATAAAATGAACTTATACCATCCTTCAGCTCTCCTGTGCAATATGAAGTTTCATTTCTACCTGAGAGAAATGTTACAACCTTTGCATTCTCCTTTGCCTGAGGAAGGGCATGTGAGCCTGAACGCTTGCAAATAAATATTTTTTTCTGCAACTATCTAGTTGGTGTAATAAAAGATATTGCCTCTACCACATTGAGTGCATAGTAAACAAAGGGATCACACTTCACTTGACTATTAGAGATACCCATGTAACCAGTAAATCTACTGGAACTAACAAAATTACAATTGCTACAGTGTTAAGAAGGGACAAATGGCATGGGAAGACCATAAATGTTTCTTCTAGTCTTCACTGGACAGTCATGGCATTCAATATCTCTCATAGTGCAGAATCTGGATCCCAGGCAAAGGGAAGGCTGAGGAAAGGATGATGAGAGGAGTTCTTGAACAAGCCATGACAGCTGCCAAGGACTAAGCAGAACTAAACCTGGAGGGATTTCAGTTCCATGACTGTCTCATACAACCTTCAGGAAACTTTAAAAAAAAAAGCAAGCTAAAAGCGTGCAGAGTCAGAGTCAGTCTCCTCAGCTACTTATTATTGGGAGGGAACTTTCACTTTTTTTTCTTAAAAAGAGAAATAGAAGTAACACTATAAAGAGAGAGTGAGACAAGAAGCTAGTTTACCTTGTCACAGCCCTAGTGCAGATAGTAACCAGAAAGCAGCCAACAACAATCATCCATCCCCAGCCTCCATCCGGAGGGGAGGAATGCAGAACCTTCCTTGGTGTGGCCATAGCTGTGGAAGTGATTCTTTTATTCCTCTTTCTTGAACTGCTGTAAGGGACTTATTCCAGCTGACATGCCAAGTATGCTTGGAATTTTACCTGGCACAAGGCTTATTTGCCATCTGAAAAAAAAACAAAAAAAAAAGCAGGGAGGGAATTAGAATAAATCACACTTCATTTGTACTGGGAAACTATACTATCAAATCATAATGTATGGCTCCTGTTTTATTGTATACAATGTAGATTTATTTTTTATTAGAGTGACTGGAACATAAACTGCATATTGGTGGATGAGTAAGATTCAGCCCTTTTATACTTAGGTGAAAATCGCGAGTAAGTTCCTTCACTTCAACTGACATTGTACAGTCAAGGACAGAATTCAGTCCAGCATAAGACAGAATTCCTGTAATTAATATTTTCAAGCAATTATATCTTAGTACACAATATGACAAAACAGTATTACACATGTGCAGCTCACCTCACATATATCACTGTGCATCTCCTAACTTCAGTGGAACTACACTAATTTACATTGGGGAAGGCACTGGCCTGATTTTTATTAAAGTTACAAATCAGTTTTCCTTATAATCAACTGTTTTCAGTCACACAATTCACTGAGAATTTCATCTTTGGACTGAAATTTTCACCTGCCCAAAAGGTGACTGTCATTTGCAAGCCTGAAGAAAAGCTAAGCAGCCCTTTTTCTGAGATTTTAGTGGAAAGAAAACAATTCATTTTTCGCAGAAGCAAAACCCCAGCTGAGGTCCAGAGTCAGGCAGATCCCACTGACTTCAGTTGTGGTTTCCCCAAGGGAAGATAGGGTGAAATCAAATTCTCCTGTTCTCCATGGAGACAGCTAGCAAAAAATCGATGCACAGTTTAGGTCTTACTTAAAATATCAGACCAATAGACAAATTAAATAATGCTGGATCTCTCTCTCAGGATAAATGCCACCCTGGTGTCAATCTAGTTAGCGTTTAAACATGTGAGTGGCTAACCATTATAGTCTAACCACTGTACACTAGAGTCACTCTTGTCATATACCCTTGCAGGATTGGACCCACTGCAACCATGGCCATGGCTGCAATTAATTTTTGTACCCATTGCTGTAAGACAGTGCTGAGGATGAGACCAGCTTCTGACCAGTGGTCTTAACATGGAGCTTGGTGGTTTGGGTGTTCCTTGATGTCCCAGGTTTATCCCATATAGGGTGACTACATGGCTTGGGTACTTACTTGTAATAGCTAGTTGCTTTGTTGCAGGTGCTTTTTTATTCCCCTGAATAAAATAAAGACTTAAAAGAAATAAACAAAACTGTCTGATATGTGTTTCAATACTGCTTGAAAAGAAACCTAACATAACATAGCCATAGCATAGTATTTTAAATGCTGAACCTACAATATCCACAGTGTCTGGAATCAGCAAAATATTATTGGATGCAGCTTGGAAAAGGGGACTAGAGTTGTTTAAAGAGTTAAAACAACCCAAGGAAGTAGCTACATTCCTTAGGAGGTACCTGCTGGATTCACAGAGCTCCTTGTTCAGATAATGCACAGGATTTGACCCACAAGGAGTTGAGCCCTCCAAGCCATGAGACCCTACTGATTCACATGCGTTACACATCCCCACATACTAACACAACTCAATAAACACATTTTAAAACAGAAAACTAAACACTATTTACAAAGTTGGCATCTAACTGTACACTGTAACCATACAGTATTACGTTCCATCTGAATTGTTAACTAGAATGCCTTGAGTAGCATCAATTTTTGTCTGTGCAAGATTCAGGGAAGGTTGCAGTCATTCATTTTACTTGGGACCAGAGATACTGTAACAGGTTTGGAAAGGAAAAGCCATTCCTGTTTTCACTCTTGTATAAGAGGGTTTGTTGATATATATTTATAATTATGTTTTGATAAATCTTTTGAATGATTTAGAGTCATCAAGCCATGTTTATGCAAACTTAACATAAATTCTTATGCTATCTTATGTTCTTGACCTCCTCTCCTCTCCTGTTGTTTGCCATGTTCACTTGTGTAACAGGGCAGCCTGGGCTTTTAAGTGGGAGCAGATAGCTTTGCTGTAAAAACCCAGCTGCAGGCATTTAGCTACCCAAGGGGCATCTCTACCCAAGATCTTTACTGAGCAGTAGACTAATCAGCTGTGCAGTAAATGTTGTGTGTCTACACATGTGCCCCTATTGGGCCAAAATAAACTAATTGACCCCACAGCAGAAGAGTACCTGGAAATACAAGTACTAGTCTGCTGTGGATTTTTTTACTCTGCAGGAGTGCTTATGTAGATGCTGACTCAACTGGCTTGGCATAAGGGTGCTTCATTCAGGGGCTGCCTGACAGCTAACCCTACACTGAAGCACCCTTGTGCCCCAGCCAGCCCCTCCACAGCACTTTGGACAGGGGGGAGCACCCCCAAGCTGGAGGGTTGACCCCGGGCCCCCCTGCCAGCTGGGGCTGCTCCAACCCAGCTCAACATGCTGTAATCCCAGGTGCGCTTGAAGACACGGCACCCGGGAGCAATAAACTCCAGAACAATAAGCTCCAGAGTTTATTCATGAGCATTAATTGCACGTGTAGATGCACCCAAGAAGTAGGTCCACCAGCAGTTAAAAACCAAAGGGAGAGAGCAGGGAAGCTTAGCAAGAGGAAAGAAGCAGTCAACAAGAGGAGACAAGTGAGAACTCAAAGAAGCTCAAACCTAAGAAGGGGCCTGAGCAAAAGGGCCTCTCCTATTGCCCAGAGAAGAGCTACATGCTTTGATCTACTGTGTTGTTTATTTGTGTGAGCAAGGGCTATATTTTCATTTAAAGGACTGGCTGAGGAACCCTCCAGACCAAAGCCACCCTGCAAGGCAGCAGGCTTACTGACCCACTTACAACTTGTTTAGTCATAATTTAAATCACATAAATTATTGGCAGCCAGGAATGTGTCATCCAATACGTTTGTACTGGCCGAGCACAAAAAAGCTCTTTAGTGAGACTGTTAGGTGCTACTGTAACACAAATCATAATAATTAAGTAAGATAGGATTCAGGTTGTGGTGGGAGCCACATCCTTAACAACTCTCTATTTCTCTTCTTTCCCAATTCACAGTTCTTTGGAGAGAGATGCAGATTGCTTTTAATCCCATTTGTTGCTCAAATCTCTTATTTCAAACATCAAGAATAACCTGCGTTAAACCAAACATCTGAAGTATCTGCAGCTTGGATTACATAATGATTGGAGTACATAATCCAATTGTGTAATTAGATTAAATGTTATTTGCTCTTAAAGATCAAGTGAGAAATCACCAGTGAAATTGCGAAAGCTTTCATGAGAAACCATAAAAATAGATAGCACAGACACAAATGTTCCTAGGTTTAAACTGTACAAGATGGTCACTTTACAAACTCACTTTTACAAGAGGTAGTAACCAAGTTCAAGGTCTTGACCCTTGTCTTCAAGGTACTTGATAGCCAGAGCCTAAGGTTTCTAAAAGATCAACTAAATGTCTGTGACCAAGACCACCATTGATGACTTTAGTCTTCTGACACAGTAAATCTACCTAACAGAAGAAAAGATACGCTATGCAGTACCTGAGTCAACACTTTTCTAGGGGTGCCAGCCCAAAATTGTGGAATGACCATTATAAGAAACAAGCTTCATTACAACCCTTGCTACCTGCTGCTCTAAGTGAAAGGTACATTTCTTTCCTTCCTCAAACATAAGCATTTACAGCAAGATATGTATATACGTTATCAAATAAATTACAAAACAGAACACTCCACTGTACAATTTTTACCTTAGGAAAGGACATGGCAAACATTAATCTAATTGCTTAAAGAACTGAGGAAAGATCCTCAAAGATGTCAGTAATGAGTGTGATTCAAAAATCTTTTTGAATTATATGCAATCTTTAATTTCTTGATCACATATAATGTTCTTCCCAGGGCTCACAAAGGACAGTAATAACTTACATGAACAGCCATTCTATATTTCTGGTTCTTCCATGCTGGCAAATGTGCTCCCAGTCAGCCACACCAACAGGGAGTCACAGGGGATGGAGGAATTCTCTTCTCACAGTCCTGGCACTGCTCAGCTCCTGGCTCCCCCCAGGAGCAAATCAGCACTGGGAGTAGGTCGCTGACTGCTGCACCCTATCCCAGCACTGCTCAGCTCCCAGCTCCTGTGGGGAGATGGGAGCCATGCAGCACTGGGACTGGGGAGCTCTCTCCTTCCCCACTCAGTTAGGGGCTCACTGGGAGCTGTCCTGCTCCTGGCACAGCTGCTGGCAAGCCCCCTACTGGGCAGGGGAGCTCCGCTGGGCACAGGGCTTGGTGGCATCAGTGTCCTGATGTGCACAGGGCTAGCAGAGTGCTGCCTGGCCCTGTGTGCATTGGGACCGGGCCCCATGCCCCCAGCCAGACCTGAGGCTAGCACCCCAGGGAAGCCTGGAGCTTCCCCTGGTTGCTATAGGAGGACAGAGCAGAGCAAAAGTAGATTCGCTCCCAAGGAGCAGATTTTCTCCCAACAGGGTACATGTGTACACTGGTGATGCGTAGCGGGTGCATGAGGGTGCACGTGCATCCCCTGAGATTGGTCATGTACCCCCTGGAAGCATCAGCCATGAAATTGGACATGCAGGTAGAAGTACACTTCCAGTTTCACCACTGGTTCAGCAATTGGTGCTGGGGGGCTCTCCTCCCCCCACCCCGTCAGCAATCTGGTGCCCCCCCCAGACCCAGGAGGCACCAGTTGTCCATGCCTGTGTAGACACACTCCCAGAGAAGGCTTACTGCACAGTATTTTACTGCTGCTCTAAGCAAAAGGTGCTGCCATCTCTTTGTCACAGCTCACTCCCTTTTCCCCTCAACATGGGTTCATAGAATCAGAGAATCAGAGAAAATTAGAGTTGGAAGGGACCTCAGGAGGTCATCTAGTCCACTCCCCTGCTCAAAGCAGGACCATCCTCAACTATATTATTCCAGCCAGGACTTCGTTGCGCTGGGCCTTAAAAACCTCAAAGGTCCCCTGCTTTTCCACTTACCTCAGGGCTTTGTTCTCCATTCCCCGGTGAACCTAATTTAAAGCCTTCCTCACTAGGTTAGCGACCCTGTCTGCAAA